AGAAATCATTAACATCATTACTGGATGGTAGCACCGAACGGGCAATGATGAATACGTCTGGGAGTCGCGCAAATGCGGTTTTGAAGAAGAAACACCTTTAAACCTCTATTTTATACGCTTACATAATATGGGAAAAAATATTTGTTTTACGGTATTATACTCTTTGCATTATTTCATTTACTGTGCCTAGTAAAAGCGATACCGAGAAACAATATATCCCTGTCTTTACGAAACGCATTTTCAGATAATTATACCCTACCCTTCACACACACCGAGCTTGCAAGACGTCGAAAACAATCCTCTCGAACATTGTCTTATCAAACTGACCGCTCACCACACGGCGCGGGCGGTACATCATTGAAAGTTAGAAGCTATCGCTTTTTGAATTTCTGTAGGGTTATTCCGAATCACCAGTTGTGTTTTGTTTCGATTGTATATGCTTTTCTAATTCAACCACTACTGGAAAGCCAAAATGACAAAACGCCCATTTGAGTAACCGTTTTGACATGAACGTTTGTACCGAGGACAAAGTGGGGTCTTATCTATTAAAGGGGCCATAGAATGATTTTTCTGTTTTCGCTAAATACTCCTCAGAATCACTCCCTAACGCTTATAACCGAATAAACTTGCCTTAGTTTTTCTTTCTAAGCAGTGGCAGTCGGCAAATAAATTCGAGAAATATGAGCATCGTTGATCCCCTCAACTTGGAGCCAGAACAAGCGGCTACGAGAACTGGAGTCATTTATGTGCCGCCAATGCTTATCATAGCTGCGCGCTGGGGTTGGGAAAGCACGGGACAGGCGCTGAGTTCCAGAGATCGTTAGGATTTGTCTATTGTCGCCATTGAAGCGATTGGGCAGGAGCCACTACCCGAATGCTTGTCGAGCTATTGATTATCGCGAGCCAAATCGAGTGCTCAGTGCTCACGCAATGATCGGGTCCAACCTATGAGTCGCATTCAAATATCGTCACTGCGGCACCATATATCGTCGCTGGGGGACACTGCGACCTCCAGACTACGTCACCACGTTCTGCGAAGGAGAGGTTAAAATAATACGCTCGCTTTTATTCGTGAAATTACCAAATGCATTACTAGGGGTGATACAGGACACTTTCCAAGAATACATCGAAAAAGACGAGAACGAAGAACCGCGGAAACACGCGTGAAGGCGGCACCGGTACTGTTTTCGCATCCGCGACCACATCAACCGCATCGCATTCCGAGACATCGCCTGGTCACGTGCTCGTCGTCAAAAGGAGAGGGAGGGAGTCGAGGGATTGCTAAATAAACCACTCCGCCAGGCAAGAATTCGGCGCGGCCATCATTCAGTTTATTGTGTTTGTGTGTATGTTTCCACAGCATGAAGTTAGTTTGACTCAAAGGGCGTCTTGTCTCTTAGCTGTAGATGAGCAATTTCGCCAATTGAGTAAAACCGCTAGCCTGGGGTCTTTAACGTGCACTACGTAGTGGGGATACACGACTGCACGCCGGTACGATGCTCATACAGATCGAAATGGGTGGTTCTGTCTCATGCAAATTAAGAAAGTGTCCCGCATTCCCCTAGTAAAGTACTTGAAATTCCACCGCAACAAAGAGGTTTCTTGGTCAGTGGCGTTGCGTGCTAGTATACTTGGGTCCCAGTAGTGCCAGTAAACTCGTGTAAAGACGAAAGCATTCCAACCCAATATCGTTGCCACCGCTCTTTTAATTCTCACAAAACAAACATCGTGTTCTTCAGCGTGCTGCGGCATAAAGCCCTCTACAGCGATGGTGGAGGTTGGAGATGTACGGAGTAGATAAATCTGCAAGCACGGAATACGCAATCAGTGGTTTTTTCGTTCTCTCTCAGCTGAAGGGCTGCTTTAGAAATCCCATTGTCACTGGCAGAGTGAGGACGGCAGGGCGTGGCTTAGGAACGTCCGTTTTCCAGCACGTGCTCTGGGCCTTCCACCGTGCTTCGGTTGCTGCGCTTGCGCTGCATGAGACGCCGATGCATTGCCAAAAGAAGGAAGCATCACTCTGGAGGCGGGACAACCGAAGCTCATCTCTACTGTCCTCACTCTCTCAGTCATTATAAAAAAGATTTCATGCGAGTCACCTAATTATTTAGAAAAATGTAATGTTCAATACTACGCTGTATGCCTGAGCTAAAAAAAAACAAAGACGTGGATATTGTACAGATTACAACACTAGTATTTTCTATGGCTGTCTTTCGGATGTAATGTGCTCCCCGGTCTTTTTCTATACACTCACCCAACCTCCTTGCAAGTGAATCCGCCTGTTCTTCACTATATAATCACCATTTACGACGGTTTAATTACATTTTGTCGGGTTTTAAATCTTCAAATGAAATCCGCAACTCCGATAGAGTATCTTTTGAAGGTGTTCTATCTACAGCCATATTCTCTCAATCTTGGCAACCGGTACGGACCAGGTTCAGGGCAAGTTCGTCGTGAGACCGGTCCGTAACCCTACCTCGTTTGCATCGCGCATCCGCCCAGCTGTGCACTCGCCCTCTACACGGGGCAGCTTCAAAGGAAAACCGGAGGACTCGAAGAGCCTCCTTCACCCGTGACGGCACCCGAACCAGAACCTCGTTCAAGAGTCGGCATAAACTGCGCCCGAGCTCCAAACTCGGAGCCATTGTGCGGCTCAAGTGGCGAACGACCGCAAAGGGATCTCACTGTGCGTAGATAGTTCCCATACACGTGGCTGCAGCACCGCGTAGACAGGCATCGAGCCCGCAGCGCATCAGGAGCCCTCAATGGGCAAGTTCCGCCGGGACGTCAAAGATCCGAGCGTGCGCCGTCCACGTCATGAGCGCCCCTGGCTCCCCCCGCTTGATCAATGATCGTCCAGGCGAAAAGGTCGTCGGTCTTCAAAGGGCTGCACGACGGCGCCCTTTGGCTCTCCTGGAGCCGGGGGGGCGACGTCAAAGAAAGAGTCGCCCCCTTCCCCGTTTCAGTCCTCCGTGCCTTTTCTTTCGGACCGATGAGCCAAGACTGTCCGGGCCAAAGTGGACTTGACGGGTGGACAACTGGCGCCCAAGATAAATTGCCTTCCAGTTCCATTGTGGGGGGCACACTGGACCACGGTAGAAGCCTGGCCGGACACTGGGTAGAGGCTTCGAGAAAGAAACAGTGGGGCGTATATCCGCAGCGGGGGCCACCATTGTCGTTCAACTCCTTCAGTCAGAGAGTATCATGCGCGGAGCTAGCGTGTACAACAACGCGGGCAAGACCGAGTGCACGCGCTCCGGGCGGACTTGAACACGGACTCTATACTCCCGTGGTCCGCCCAAAGCCACCTCTAACGATCAAGAACAACGTCCGGGATTAGGCGGACGGCGTTGTCCGGGCTCGCGTGAGAAAGAGACCGAAATCTGAAACGTAGGGCTTGTCCCGCCCAGTTCGCATTGTGCTGGGGATTCGCGCCCGCGTATACACACAACTCATTCACGGCTCGCCGGTGTCGCTGTTGGTCTCCACGTGTGAAGAGGGTTTGTTAGTGTGCCCGTTACGAAGCCCCCCCTCCCTCACCCTTTCCTCCTTCACCACTATGTACAAGCGATGCCTTTCCCTGAATTCGTAGTCCAGAGAAAGTGCGAGGAACCTGGCGAAAGTCAGACGCAAAAAGAGGAAGTGGACTGAATAACGGTGTATGCTTCGAGCCGCCGCAGTACAAAGTGACCAGTGTATTCCACCTTTGTGCCCTGAAGCCTCCACGCCCAGCCGCGTGTCGGATTTCTGTTTTATGTAGCACCTTTAGAAGGCGAGAATGTTTGCCCGGCTTTTCACGTTCCCTCTACCCCCCAACCAGTACAGCGTACGGCATTACGCATCTTTCACATGGGGAAAGCTCTATACATCTAACGAAAGCCTGCTCGGTAGCCTGCTAGACCTCTGTGTTTCTCTGAATATCACACGTCCTTCGTTCACAAGAATTGGGATCAACGTGGATTGCACCGAGGGAATCTCGGAAAGTTGCGTTGCGTGAAAATATCGAAAACAAACCCGATCAAAAGCTCTTAGAAGTCCTTCGGGCTTGTGAATGTCGACGAAAATTTTAAGCATGCGAAATCCGGGTGTAATTACTGAACATTTTGAAAATTACAATCTCAAAAGCTTGTCTGAATGCATCGTTCTATAACATATTCTCGCCTGAAATATTGCGTTCTGGCCGCTATTTCCACAACTCTCGTAAAAATATCCGTATAGAGCAACACAAAGTTGTGACTGTGGCTATATTCGTGCCGACTAAAGTTAGATTTAATAGGAATTTAATTAGTGAGTACTTTTACAGCGGAGCTCTTAAGGGCTAGTTTCGGAGCTGTTAAGGCCAGTATCGTGTCCGTCATCAAACAAATGATGACACAAAACTCTGGACAGCTACCGTCATCTTTGAGCGACGGCGGCAACCTTTTTAGCCTTTCAACTCTGGCTTGCCGACTTGTCGGCCGGCCATTACTTCATTCCCACCATAAACAGCTTCGCTGGTTTCATACCTTCTTCACCAAAGTGGAAAAGCAGAATTTTATATATATATATATATATATAGAACATGCTTGTTTAGTCATTCTCAGGAATTCACGCTGACGCGGATTACCCAACCTCTTTATAAAACGCCGAAGTGCAGCCATCTGCAAGTACACGCAAGAAAGCTAGATCCACTGTATCGAGGTCTGAATAGCGGGGAAGTCATTCAGCTTTATAATGGCTATTATTTTCTTCGCGATACATGGACAATATGGCCATCGCAGCAAGACTGCACTTGAGGTCTTTAAGGTACAAATCGCACTAATGTGACGCATGACAAAAAAGCTGGTTAATCTAGAACGTATTTCTCTAGCAATAAAACTCTACGCACTTTCTTATTTTTTTTCTTGAAGCGACTTAGTGTTTTTTTTTTCTTGTTCTGGCAATTTCAAAGCGTTCTAAGTGCACATCACATTAACACAGGAGGAACCGTAACCAACACTGCCTTCATTCCGCAGGTTGATGCTTACCGGGGTATGAGCACGGCGTCGGCGCGTCCTTCCCTGAGCAGCCGAGAGAGCACCCCTGGTCCTGCCCGCTGCATGACGCCCTCGATGCAGCCGCTGGTCAAGCCCGAGCCGCCCATGTCTCCGCCGGACGACATGTCCTTCCAGAGCGGCTTCAGCGAAGGCGACGACGACGGAGACCACCGCTCTCCGGGCTCGTCCCAGGGCCTGCTCAGCCCTTCCTATATGGACGCCGACGACTTCGACGACGCCGAGTCGGCCGACTCGTCTTCCACGACCGCGGCCAGCCTGAGCAGCACGACTAGTAAGCGGAAGCGCGTGCCCAAGGCGTCGACGCGGGCTCGAGCCTCCACCAACAAACCCGGGGGCCCCGTCAGGGTGAAGAAGACGCGGCGCCTCAAGGCCAACGACCGCGAGCGGAACCGGATGCACAACCTGAACGGCGCCCTGGACAGGCTGCGCTGCGTGCTGCCCACCTTTCCGGATGACACCAAGCTGACCAAGATCGAGACGCTCCGCTTCGCCCACAACTACATCTGGGCGCTTTCGGAGACCCTGAGGATCGTCGAGTCCAAGTCGGAGAAGATGAAGAAGGACCTCCAAACGGAACAGGACGCCGCCGCGCCTCTGGGTCTCGAGTCCGCGATCGCCACGGTCACCCCGGTGGCACCCCGAGGGCCCTTCTACGCCACGCCGCCGTCGTCCTTCGGGTCGTCGCCGTCGCCGGCTAAGCTTCAGGGTGGCGTCCCTTCGCCGGGGCCGACCCCGTGGAACTTGTCGTCGTGTCCGAGTTCGGTCGCCGTGTCCACGCCAGCGAGCTCGATAGACCTGTCGGACTCATCGTGCTCGGGCTCGGAGTGCGGCTTCACCACCTACGAAACACTATGAGTGTCGCATCCGCGGGAGCGCTTTTCACTTCGTGCCACCACGGACTTGGATCGCCAAGCAGTGCGCCGCCAAAGACATCTATCGCGAGAGAAGGACTGCATCCATCAACCTCATTTTAAGAGGTGGAGTGCCCGCATGCACGGACATTTGTGGCGGGCTCGAGAGATTGACAACTCTAGAGCTTGCTTCGGACCCTGTGGCAATTCCAGTAATGGCGATATTATTTAATGACTACTTTATTATTCGTGTTCGGAGAAAAGAAAATATCCTCCTAACATTATGTCAGCTCCCAGTGGGTAAGCCTGGATTGAAAAGCGACTTGGGCAAGGCTCTTACACCGAAGAGGCGTCCGATAGCTTGTAAATTGGGTTTAAGCAGCTTTCACTGTGCTACAATCGCCACTCAATAATTTAAAAAAAAGTATAGAGAAATATAAACGCGGTAAGACAACCCAACTGTATGAAGTGGAGAAATACGATTATTCGTGCAATTCATTAGTGTAAATAAAGTCGCCGTCAATCCAATGCTTCGAAGCCCGTCCAGCGCGATACATGTGCCACAAACCATGACGAGACGCTAGATAGGTCAGGTCCGGCTGTCCGCCTAAGATGGCCTCGTTTTGTGTACGAGGCTCGAAGAACGTACTCTTTTCCATAATTTATGACCCCATTGATCGAGTATACTGTGTGCCAGTAGACACGAATAAAGCCATTCGTAACGACAAGCCCCTTCCAGCCTCTTGCTTCACGCAACTACCGTTCCCTTTCACAGCCGGGGTTCGCGCCAATGACGCGGAGACTCGACGCCTCGAAGCCTCGCCAAGGACGTGTTTGCCTGCCTCGAATTGTTTGCTCGCGCTGCGGGTTAAAAATTTAGCGCCGTGGTTTTCTCGTGTCTACACCAACACTCGGCAAGGGCCGTCGGGCCGCTGCGCTGGCGCTGCTATTGGCAGGGCGCATTCGCAGACGCTTCACGCGGTTCCTGCGCACGCGCAGTACCCGCACCTGCTTGTTTGTAAACAGTGCGTTGGTCTATACGGACCGCAAGTTCATCTGCTGCTTGCACAGGGGTTCCGACGACCTCAGAATGCCGAGCTCTTATAAGCTGATCAAAAAAGAAATAGTGGGTAGACCTCAAGGCATCTAGCATTGAGGTCTACCCGCTATTATTTTTTTTCAATCAGCCAATAAGAGCTCGGCGTCGTTCTGACGTCACCGCACCTCCTGCGCAAAAAGCAGACGACTTACTCTCCTCATAGAAGATTGCGAGCGGGGCGACTGACCGCCGCCATGGCTTTGCTTGCGCGGGCAAGCCTGTGCAATGGCAAGCTGGAAAAATCTACGTTTACGCGCTCGTCGTACCTGCTTGCGTACACGCCATGTTTGCAATAGACTCCCCTTCTAAAAGTCCCTGCCATCGCAGCAGGTCCGCCGTTGCTCGATCACGTACTCCGAGCATGTATTGGTGAGCCGCCTCAGCGTTCGGCATGAACTCGGCTCTGCTCGTATTAAAAACGAGCAGAGCGAGGACTCGGATCCGAGCATACGCTTCGTGTCCAAGCATTGGCGACCTCCATTGTTGCTCGATGTACTTTTGAAGCAAAAACATAAAATAGCGCAACAGAAAACAAGGACAAGAAGTATACAGGACAGGCGATACTTCTTGTCCTTGTTTTCTGTTGCGCTATTTTATGTTTTACTAAGATGAACCAACTAGCCCAACAACGTACCTTACTAAACAATACTTTTGAAGTGTTTGTTTACGAGCGAGCGTGTTCGCCCACACTGGCTACGCGCTGGGCATGCACAGAAACTCGATTTTACGAGAGCGAAGCGCCTGAGCGCCTCAGTGTGACGTCAGCAACATCGGTGGGTGCATAGGCAGTTCCACGGGGAACATTCGGCACCTGGAGATCAGTTGGGAGAAACAACGTGTTCCGATATGCTCCGTGGGCCGTCGCTCGAAAGGAAGGTTGCTCGGATGCCCTGGCACGTAACCAGGATTTTGATTATTCGGGGGGGGGGGGGGGGCGCTTATGTCAAAATGCTGTATGAGGGGGAGGGGAGAAACGAGGTCCCTCATGGCTACGTGCCTGCGGATACCCCTTCATTCGGTATAATATACTTGTCTAACATGCCGCGTTTTATTTCTGATTGTTTTAGTAATCGCGCTAGAATCCCTTTCTGCATTGAATAGAAGAAGCAAATCTAAGGCCATGAACCTCCTTGGTGGTCGGTACAGGCATAGTGCTACGCCATACCCCTGCTTTTTGCTGCTCCACGCGATGACTGGGAGTGGTGATCGGGACGTTTTACCTAAACGAAAACCGGCAGCGACATCTCACCAATGATGAGCAAGGACATAGTCCAAACAGGGAATACGAATGAACACTTTTCTTTCCATTCTTTGTTTATTTTATTGTCTTTTTCTTAAAGTAACGGTGCGTAGAGCAGTGTGTTGTTACATCCATCCCAAACATATAGTCGAAAAGGTGTACCGACTCGGGAGGCACGCAAACAAACATATACGATGCATGAGCAGCACCGAGGGGTCTTGGCCTCAATTCGAAGAAAATTTCTCGTATCATTGGCCGGTCACAATGACACTCAAAAAACCCTTTGTTCCAAAAAAAAAAAACCTATCTAATATCCCACCTTTATATATCAAAGGCTCTATTTTCTTTTCTTCGAAACAAACCTTTTCTATTTGTTCTCCGGTTTCTTGGAGGGAGAAAACAGATCTAAGCAACCGGGTACCATTCAGAGAATGTTCGATGGAAAGAGGTCTGGATATAATCCATCCAAATTCGTTCATTCGAACAACCGAGGCACACCGTGCAAACATACAATAACTTTTTTTAATGTTTTTTATCCTTGGAGATGTTCGCCTCCGCACAACGTCCCCAAGAAACCGCCACGCAAAGAACGCAGCCGGTTTCGCATTGATAAGTCTTCGTTCGGCAATCGCTATTCACACCACCAGCACCAATCCTCTTTCTCCATCCTCCGGGACCGACGTGGATGCCTAGACTACTTACAAACTTTCTTCGTCATAGTTTTTTTAAAGCGCTACGAGGGACTGTTTGTTTCTGTTCTTCAATTGTTGTTTTCCTTCTTTTTTTTTTTAGCTAGGCAAGTATCACCAATCGACGGCGTCATTCGCGGAGGCAGCTTCTCAAAAAGACCCGTTACCGTTCCCTCCGTCAAAAATAATTTTAATAAAAAACAGCCACAGTTTCGCCGACTTCCTCCTATTGTAGACATTTTTGGCTAATATTTTTTTTTTCTACGTATGAGTGCGCGTGTTTTTGTGCGTTTGTGTGCGTGAAAGCACGGGAGCATTTCTCGGCTCCTGTTTTTCCAGACGCCAAGAGAAGAGGCAGAGAAGGAAACGACACCATTCATCGAGTAAGAAAATCCAGGCGGCAGTGCAAGCAGCCCCACCCTCTTAAAAAAAAGAAAGAAAAAAAGAAGATATCTTTTTCTAGACATATCTTCCACAAAAAGCAACAAAAAAATGCAAATGCAAATGAATATTATTGGTGAAACTCCTGAAAAGAACTACAAAGTGCTACGCGTACACAAAATCAAGAATACACCACGAAAACAGCGAAACAAAAAAAGGGGGGGGGGGAGATAAAAAAATACGAAAATCTCGAGGTGCCATTGTTGGCCTCCTCGAGGAAGTGACAAAAAGTAGACGCAGGTACCTCTCTCTCCAACCTGAACCCCCTCGCCCTTTCTTTGTTGAACTCCCATAAAATAACACATAGAAATGGAAACAAGTAAATATGCGGCAGGGAAAACTTTGCAGCCAGAAAAGAAAGTTAGAAAAAGACGAAGATTGGGGAGGAACGGGAGAAGAGGCAGTGGAGCAGAGTAAAGAAAAAGCGTCGGGGAAGGAGGCAGGGAGGGCGCATTCGTACCTGGTGACCTGTCTTGCTGACCTCGACTGCTCCCGTGAGAAAAACTGGCAGGGAGTAGCGGAGCGGCGGCGGCGCCCGCCAAGAAACTTTGTTCCTCCCCGTCGACACCGGCGCAGATAATAGACGCCGCCGGCACACTCCGCCGGCGGTGGTCTGCCCCAAGATACGTAAGAGTTGCTAACCTGTCTCTCTTTCTCTCTTGTCAGAGAAGAAAACAACTTGCCCTTAACTAAGCGACGAAAAGAAAAAAAGATAAAATGGGGGGGAGGGGAGGGAAGTGAAAACGCAAATTTCTATTGTAATTCGCGAGAGATTTCGACCTTTGTCAGAGAGCCAGTGCGTAGTTTAAGAGGTTTAACTGCGTACGGTTTTGGCCGTTCACGATTTCCTGTCTTGCTTCTTTTCTTCCTAGCGTCTCTTCGGGCGCTGGGGGGCTTTGCCTGGAAGCTCATCCTATCCGACTTATTTCTCGTTCTCACTTAACATTACTGATAACAGAAACATGGGAAGGGACCTAATAACAGCCGTCGACTTTTCGCTAAGAAATCGAGGCTCAGCAAAATGTCGTTGACAACCGTAACATTTTTATTTCCGTTTCTAGCGTTCCAAGTCGCTTCGATTGACTGATTCGCATCACTCTACCTCTGCATTCACTTCTATCTCATTTATATTGCAGTTTATAGGACATTATTTATTTACTGCCTCGCTCTAACAGGTAATGGCCTTTTAAAGAAATATCTGGCAGGTTAATGAGACAGAATTTTTTTACTTCACTAACGACTAAGTAATTCAAGAAGCCTGCGCCTACTGCAATTCAAATAGAGCTTAAAATTAAAAAAAATAAAGGAATCATTTTGAGGTTAGTACAGACTGGCTTCGGCGACATCAGCCACGCCGTCTCATTTCCGAGACAAGCTTCCGTTTTCTGAATGGCCTAGCACCGCTTCCCCTTAAACCTACACGCACGAAAAGCCAAAGCATACAAACCAGACGAGCGATCTCGCAACAAGCAACGAAACTACACCCCCAAAAAGAAATACTAAAAACAAGACACGTACGCCATTCCGGAACCATAGTATACGCAAACTCACTGTTCCTAAGTAAACTCCACAGGGGACGTGAGCACGCCAAACTCGGAAACCATTTTTTTTTTTTTTTTTTTAGAAGTGAAACGTTTCTGCAGATCTCGTCTCAGGAACCGCACCACCGTTTTGGCGTGACGTCAGAAACGTGAGTTGTTGAGCCTAGTTCGCAGTGTAAACGAACGAAGCAACATAAAATAAAACTCGAAAGAAGAGAGAATGGAACGGGGTTCGAGCTCCCGTTTGACTTTACTGACAGCTCCCCCAGGGGGCTCTCCGTCAAAGAGCCATCATCTTCCGAGGAGGAGGAAGTGAGTGACAAACTCCGGCCGGGCCGTCCTGCCCAAGAGAGGGAAAAGCGCGCCCCGACGTTTTCTTCCACGACGTGCGCTTTTGTCCAGTCACCCGCACTTGGTTCCTTACTTTATTCTTCATCGATTGGGTAACGAACCTTCTACATCGAAGCCCGAAAGAATTCCCAGGGTGCATAACGGTGCTTCGCCGGGAGGAAGGAGATGGAGGAAGAAGGAGAGAAAACATGGACGGATTAAAATATGAATCCCCTCCGCCTCCTCTCTCGAATCCGTCGGCGGGCACAAAAGGCGACGCCGAAAGCCGAAATGCTGCAGCGGGCTCCAGGATCGAGCGTCACGACAAGTCCCAAATCCCGAAATCTTTTTTGATCCACGGCGCCGTCCTCCTTCGAGTCCG